TATATATATATATATATATATATATATATATAACTGAGACCTTGACAAATAGCTCAAACACTGCTAAACTAAACTATGGCTTTTCCCCCATCCTGGAGAATACTGGAGAGAGAAAATTTAAATAATTCAAAGACAATTCCTTTGACTCGTTTCATGAGCATGACCATGCACGGACTGATGGGTTTACAGACCCCGCTGTATTGATACATTTGCAGGCGCATTCCCAGACATATATCTAATAAACTTACCGTATCCTGAGCGTGAGCCAGACCAAACTCGAGAGCAACCAGCAGAAACTTGATCATGGTGGTGCAGCTCGTTGGTGTTCCTCAGAGGGTCAGAGCAGGTGAGTGGTTATAAAAGCTCTGCATACCTGAGGGGTCTGAACATGGATTCGGTCAATGGTTGATCATAGGAACTTAGGTCTGTTCAATACTTCCTTTTGGCCCCGCTGGACGGTGTCTGACCTTTGGTTCCTTAATCAGATTAGCATCAGAGAAGTTTGACTTGCCGTGAAGAAGTGTTGTTTACTGTCAGAATGAAATCCTAATCTAAAGGTTCAAGGCCAGAAAATTCTATAGTTTATCTCCATGTGTAAATGGTGGGTCACAGTGAATGTGGGTATGTGTGTGCCTGATACCGTGTATTTCAACTTCAGGACACATTTAACTTACTTTATAACCTAAATGTATTATTTTTTCACCACGGCACCTTTAATATGAGTTAAAAGTTACCAGAAATTTATGTGTGGAAACAGTCTTTAAAATCAGGGACCTATTACAATGTGTTTCTTCTTAACTTTAATTCTACTTCAAAATCTCTGCTGCTATTGAGATACTTGTTCTTTGAGCCTGTAAAATTCAAATACCTACGGATTCTCAAGGTACATGAGAGAAAATTTTCAAAGCAACTGTAAAACCAAAAATTTTTAAAAAGTAGCACGAACCATAACTGTGAGGATCATCTTTACTGATTAAAAATTACTGTTTTATTTATTATTTTTATTTTATGTGTATGAGTGTATTGCCTACATGTATGTGAGTGCACCCGTGTTGCGCAATGCCGCGGAGGTCAGGAGAAGGGTTCAGATTACCCTGGGCCTGGCATTAAGCATGGTTTGTAGCCGCCATGTGGGTCCTGGGAATCGAACCCCGGTCCTCTGCAAGAGCAGTCAGTGCTCCTAACCGCTGAGCCATCTCTCCAGTCCCATGTTTTATTTATTGACTGTCTAAAACAAAACAGTTTTATTAAAATTAAACTGTATAATCATAGGTTTATATCATGAATTGTCATCCTAATAGAAGATTGGCTTCCAAATGTGTTAGTAGAAACACACAGAGATCTGCCTGCCTCTGCCTCTGATTTTTCAGATTATAGGTTTGTGGTATGTAAAAGGCTCTCTATTAGAGATTTATTTTCATTTTGAAAGGAATTCATTTTATTTGTTTTTAAAATATTTTAATTCAATTTTTGTGTATTTCATACACAATGTCTTAATCATCTTTATACCTCCTTCCCAATCAGCATCTTCCCATAGCCACTCCCCCCGCCCCCCCCCCGCACTGGATTTCATGCAATGTCATTTATGTTAGGGCCTATCCAGTTAAG